GCAGAAGCGACGCCGAGGACATTCAGTAGACAGTGACAATGATAGCGAGCTGCTAGTGGTGGCGGCAGTGGATGGTGGCGACTGGCAACGGCGAAACACGGACAGGGGCAGAGGTGGATGTCAAAAGGCGGCATCAGCGAATGCCAAGCGGCGGTGACAGACAGCTGATGTTTGGTGTCAGGTGGTGTGCAGTGGCAGATGTCAGGCAACGTACGATGGCTGACAACACACGGCATGTGACGTTCCATGGCTGACAACGAACAGCAGGCGGCTGGTGTTAGGCGGTAAGCAGCGACAAACAACAGCAGGCGAGGATGACCAGTGGTGCTCTGCCAATAACATTTTATATTAATGAACAATGTAACTCTCAAATTCGGCCAAACCAACCGAATTTTAAATTTAGCAAAAATGAATTTAAGGTGTAAACTTCAAATTCATTCATACTTTACATTGTATTTGTACTTCTCTGTACCAAACACATAATTTTCAAATATCTCTGTAAAAGAATTGCAGTACACAACTAACTCTCCCAATCAAACAGCCACTTAGGCTTCAATTTCACCTCAAAAAGTTAACTCTGCATAAATCACATTTTTCCTCATGATAGATCCAGGCATTTAAATCTATCACACATAGGTATCACTAATATTCTAGTAGAATTCACTGCTAATTACTAATATCACACCCATGTTGTATTATTCATGTCCGCCATATTTTTAGTGCAGAATTAATCATATATTTCCACAACCACTAGTTTTATTTTTATTATGTTAACCTTAATAAGTCTTTCTTTTGCACTACAACATAGTTATTTAACTAATGCCCCTCATAGTTTTACTGTATATTACTCATATTTTTTATATAGAATTAACATATTATTCATCTTAATATTTTCATTTTAACCATTCAATTAAGCTTTCAGTAACTCCTTAAATGATGCCCAATCCCAACCACATATCCAATTTTATTACAATTCTATTTAATTTCCAAAAGCCTTTAAGGAATTTTTATTTTCTGAAATTTTTATTGTCCTTATGTGTTATAGCTAGCTAGTTTTTGCCCCTACACTTCAACATTCAACTTCTATCACACCCACAGTAGAAGCATTAGCTTACATGGTCCTCCATTATTCAGACTTATCACTTACTTCAAACTAATCTCACGTACATGGCTTAGGTCATCTACTGAAGAACCATTAATCCATATGATTTTCAATGATCCTGATAAGATAGATGACATCATGAGAATTAAATTGGTCTTAATAAGAAAAAAATGTATAGGTAAAATGCATATGATAGTTATTATAGTTATCATGCTGGAATAATGAGTAGTATTAAAAAGTAATTGTCGAGTAACATCCTTAAAATGAAATAAGCATTTTACAGTGCCATAATTCTTAACCCTGATAATTCATTACTAATTTAAGTGCTAAATGAGAGCAATGATAAAAATATTACGAATATAAGATTTAAGATTAATAAAGTAAAGACTAAATACAAAATTTAAATATTACTAATTATTAAACAATATTGTTAGAAGATTATGTGAAATAAGTTTATAGCCTTAAAGCAATATTACTAATTATTAAACAATATTGTTAGAAGATTATGTAATGAAATAAGTTTATAGCCTTAAAGCAATATTGCTAGAAGATAAAGTGATGAAATAAAGTTATAGCCATAATTTGCAATAGGACTAGTAAACCAAGAATAATAATTTAAAAATACCAAAAAAGAAAAAACACCTCACCCGCACAAGAAAATAGGTATCAACTTCACCTAAAGGAAAAGACAATAAGCTTCCCACCAAGATAAATTTGGAAGAAAAAAGAATAATTTCAATTTCATTTCAAAATATTATACCTCAACATAGATTTCCATTGGTATCTATAAGCTTCCAATCATAAAATATTTCAAATCCATAAATAAGAAGACAATTTAAAAAAAAATATGAGAAGTCAAAATTAAATAAAATTACATAAAGATATCAGTTTCCAACATTTTCCTTCTTATTTTTCATCAAACTATGTAACAACCAAAAGATAGATCATTAATTCCTGTATTTTCTTCTCTATCAAAATTGTCTCTCCATCATAAAGCCAACGACTTCATGCACTAACTGTTAGGGAATTATAAAACAGAGAGCAGAAGTGTAACTGACATGCATAAAACCTCCAAATTCGAGCAAAAATTTAATAAGGACAAATTAAATAGCATACATGCATGGAAATTGTTTGTGATAAAAAGCACGCTGTTTTACTTGACGTAACTTATTTATAAATAAAATAAAAGCATAAAACTAGAATAATAAACTCATGAAAATTTCTTTTTGTTTTAAATAAAACTACATATTATTTCATTATTGTCATAACTTTTACGATAGGTCTATATGGTACAAGTGTTAGTGATGTTATTTTGTAGAGCATGATTGTGTAGATGGGGTGTTGTTCAAGTGCCCTGGCACATAGGATGTCACAACTTCGCTTCGCAGCAGCGGCTCAGAGCCAGTGGGAGCGCTTCAGC